TGCAAGAAATATCATGGTGTTGCAAAAATTGTAGTAATATTCAATTGTAAAACTACAAGTAAATGAGCCACTAATGAGTTCCCATCCCCTCCCACTGAATCACCAAAACTAAAGTAGAATACTGTAGAATTTAGCTGGAATTAATTTTCCCTGAAAATACTTTTTTAGGTGTTTTGTATGGAATTTATTTTCACTCATTTTTGATGAGCTGAATGTAAAATATAGGAAAAAAGATATATTCGCTGGATTTTATTTTCACTGAATCAGTCCTTCAGCGAAAATAGCGAAAATTAAATCCAAGCGAAAATAAAGTATTTTCCAGTATATGACCTCGATATTATAACATTTTAAAAACATTTGCTTTCAGAAGAATATACATTTAATGTAAAACAGCTTATAAAGTTGACACTAACAAATTATACTGTGAGTTTGGTCAAAATTTTACCAAAATAATTTGGCTTTTACGTGCCTCTATGTGTTGTACAAACTACCATATTGGGAATGTTGATGAAGGCTGCACAAGAAAATATAATGCATGTATACATTAACATTGTCCACACCTCACTCCCCAAATACATTTAGTCAAGAACATTTTGAATACATGAATTATCCATTTTTGCACAATAAGTTGTTTAAGTTTTAATTCTTATAAATGGTTCTTTGTTTTCAACACAAGTTTTTTTTTTTTTTAAGAACAAGTCATTTTCAGTTACTAGGCAGTAAAATTCTAATTCCTACATTAAACAATTTACATCTTTGTTTAATCAGTACACAGATGAATGTGGATTTAATTTTCATATAACTGTACTGTACTTAATGAAAGGCAGCTGTTCTTAATAAACTGGTAACTCCATTTAATTATCTTAGTTTGATATGGGTGGTGAATCACTGAGAAAAAATGTCCAGAAACAGCAAATGACATTTTTGTAACAGATGTCACCACAGCCTTCAGGTCACTGTAAATGTGTTTTCATTTGGCAAAAGCATAACACTGAATTCACAAACAAATCTTAAAGCATGTCATCTTCCTCATACAAACCACCCAGAAAAAAAAAGTGTAAATTGTGCTCCAATTCCCCAACAAATTTTGGTGCAACAGCGTTTTCATGGTATTTTCTATAAAATATTTGATCTACCGGTAATAAAAATAATTTCTCATCTTAATAGAAAATTTGAGAATAAATACAGAAAAAAATGATTCAAATTTATTTTGTAAAAAAAGAAAATACTGATGGATCCCAGTAAGGTGAGGGTTATGAGCCATAGAGTACAATGTGTTCATTGTTCATAAGCACAAGCTTCAAGTGACCATGATTTATGTAATCAGCATCCAGGCCTTGATCACAAATGAAAGGTGGATAACCAACTGACAATAGAATGTACCAGCCTATGGACACCATTTTTATCATAACATACACATAATCGCAAAGGAAACAAGACCCATGAGGAAAACAATGCAATTTTGTTACTCTGTTGCCAAGGTTATTTTATCATTCAATATTAAATCCAAAAGGCAAACGATTATGAATGGTCCATTTGTAACATCTGTGTGAATCAAAATATTGCAAATCTGTTTTCAATTGATTCACTGTATATCGGATTAGCCAGTGTCAGTCATTCATTTATTTCACAGTTGACCTAGATATTTGGTTGGTCTGCCCCTAAATATCAAGCACAACTACACCATATTTTGTTGGTCAGTCCCTATACAAGTTAATTTATCTTACATTTGATACTAATATATTTTGTTGGTCAGTCCCTATATAAGTTAAATTATGCTACCTTTGATACTAATATATTTTGTTGGTCAGTCCCTATATAAGTTAAATTATGCTACCTTTGATACTAATATATTTTGTTGGTCAGTCCCTATATAAGTTAAATTATCCTACCTTTGATACTAATATATTTTGTTGGTCAGTCCCTATATAAGTTAAATTATCCTACCTTTGATACTAATATATTTTGTTGGTCAGTCCCTATACAAGTTAAATTATCCTACCTTTGATACTAATATATTTTGTTGCTCAGTCCCTATACAAGTTAAATTATCCTACCTATGATACTAATATATTTTGTTGGTCAGTCCCTATATAAGTTAAATTATCCTACCTTTGATACTAATATATTTTGTTGGTCAGTCCCTATATAAGTTAAATTATCCTACCTTTGATACTAATATATTTTGTTGGTCAGTCCCTCAATACATGTACCTCAATTACATTCTTTTGGATATGTTATATATTGGTCTGTCCTAAAATACAAAGTACATGTACACACTGCATCGAATACTAAACAATGTACATTTTATTTTACACAATATTAAAATTGTGTTATTGTAACCACAAACTCAGAGTACTTTTATGTGAATATAAAGTTTTATTGTATAGTTAAATCTTTAGCTCCGAGACTAAAAATATGTTGGCTATTAAAAGGTTGGCCATCATAGCCATTTCAGTATTACACGTTCTATATACACTTACTGTGCAATCAAGCACGATATCAACAGAACTGTTGACTTTTGTGGTTAATTGTATTGTGAAGCTTCAAATTTGCTGTATCATAACAACAAAGTATAGGAGTAAGTTGCAGCTATATTTTAAACCTTTTGGTGAATAAATTTAAAATTATTACAAATTACAGAAAGAAGATCTGTTGTTATTTTGTTATGTGATTTGAACTAAAATATCTTTAAGACATTAGCATAGCCATATTCTGTTAGTTTGGTACAAAATTAATGTCAAAATGAGAGAAAATGACAGATAATGGGACAAAATGGAAGATTTACACAACAAATTTTAGAAAAGAATTGACCATGAACAGGTTAACGTTTGGATCTCCAGGGCGGCAATATAATATAAAAAATTACAATACATTTCAATATTTGTAAAAAAAAAAAAAAAAAAAATGCATTATTTACGAGTATTTAGAATCCAGTTGTTAATGAGATGTTAAAATAATAGTGTCCCTGTGTTATTGAGGAAGGAAGTGCAAACCACTTACTTCAATCCTGCAGTAATCCATCACATCTGTAATTAGAACTGGGAGACATTACTAGGGGGTCAGAATAAACTGTGGTTAATTAACCAACACTGTCACTTTTAGCTTATCTGACATTTTTCTAAATTTGCTATAGCTTTTAGTTATTCGTCAATTCATTATTATTTACAGCTCTTCAGACAGTGCAAATTTTTCTTTGAAGATACATTTCTTAGTGTTTTATTTTGTCTATTATATTTTTTTCTTTATTTAGCTTTTATTTTCTAAATTTTTTTTTATTTTAACCATGAGTGAATATAATATGGTGGTGGTAACTGCCAGTATTTTATAAACGTTGTAAGGTTGCATGGGACCCATATCAAACAACGAATCATAACTACTGTCCTTTAACTATAATAACGACTGCAAGCTTCATCAAAATTGTACATGATATTATTACTATCAACAATTCATTGTAGTCAATACCATGTCCTGTAGGTTTAAGCCTTTGAGCAGAATCATTTTTCCTGTCAAAGTATTATTCTATAATTTTTTTTTTATAATTTTGGACCAAACAGACATAATATCATATTGGCTACAGCTCCTAATCCAAATGTGTGGAAAA